GCGTGGGAGCACAACACTGTTTTGAGTGCCAAAAATGAGCCTCCTCTCGGTGTAGTCAATAAGAACAAGAATTTCTAGTGGTACAGTTAGTGTGAGATTATTAGTGTGATATTTTTCATGAGATTTGGATGCAGATATGTTCTTATGCAAGCATAAGTTTGAAACTTCACTGCTTACCTCAAAACGGAGGGTTCCAATCTGAATTAATGGAGAGAAGAGAACATTAGCTACTTAGTATACATTAGAGGCTTTACAGGATTTTCCAGGGGCCTGGTATATAGCTCAACAGTGAAGCACCTGTCTGGCAAGTGCGAGGCCCTGAGTTTGATTCTAGACACCCCCCCAAAAAACCCCCAATTTTCCAAAAAGAGACTTTAAAAAAAATTAATTATATCGGTACATTTAAGGTATGCAATATAATGACACTAATCATTGGAAATTTGCACCTTTACATAATCCATCTTGGTTCTTATTTTTTCTCCCTTCCCCTGCCCTCCCTTCAACCCCTCCACCTCTCCATATCTATAAAGACTTTGTTTCTATTTTTTCATTTTCTCATATTAATTCCATTCCCTTCTTTCTTTTCCCCTAGCCCTCCCACTTCCCCTTCCCCCTTGCACCTTTTCTTCCTTTTTCACATTATCTATGATACCTATTAGTCCTTATTTACACTTGCAGTTTCTCACACCAGAGAAACTATTCGGTATTTACACAAGTGTGTCCTGTTTATTTCACTTAAGAGGATGGCCTCAATGTGCATCCATTTAGCTATAAATGTCTCTAGTTTCTTGTTCTTTATTGGTGAGACTTTTTAATTTAGAAAAACAGATTGAGAAACATGATGCAATCTGTTAGATAAAAGAGGCTTCTACTAGGGGAAAGGAAGGGACTTCATTTTCTGATCCAGTGTTGGCCGTTAAAAATGTTTATGGGGTTGGAGGTGGGGAGTGTTTACGTGTGTGTGTGTGTGTGTGTGTGTGTGTGTATGTGTATTAGGTTAGAGGTGTGATGGGATGTGTGGTGAGAAAAAATTCACTCATTGTTCAACTTACAAGTAACACAGTTTAAAACATCTAACTATGTGTAGGCCTTGCCTGTAAATCAGTTCATAGCTTTATGAAATCAGCTTGTTCATATTTACAAATGGAAGAGAAGGGATTGATTTCATACCGGCTCTTCTGCTCATTTTCACACTATATATTTGTTAGCAATCTTTGTTTTTTGTTTTTTTTGTTTTTTGTTTTTGGTACCAGGGGTTGAGCTTGGGACCTTCTGATTGCCAGGCAGGCAGTGGCACTATTGAGCTAAATCCCCAGCCCTGAACACTTTTATCTTATCATTCTTGCGATTTTCCTAAGCAGTTCTGGTACTCCTCTTTTATGAGTATCTTTAGTTGCACTGTCCCGTCTGCCTTGATGCCCTGTATTTGTTCAAAATGTTTACCTGCTAGGGTCTTTTTGACTTTGGGGAAGAGCCAGAAGTTGCATAGTGCCAAATGTGGGTGAATAAGGTGATCGAGGACACAGCATAATGTTTCCATGAGCCTGCCTTTCCTGTGGATGGCATTCAGCAGTAGCATTCACTAGATTTTGGATCACACCTTGTAAAGAGGCTCATGAAAGTGGATTTCCAGAACTACTTCAGAAAGTAGCAAAAATGATGGGATAAGTGTCTTTTAAGCAAAAGTGAGTTTTTGAGTGAGATTAATGGCACTATGTCTTTTATTGAATCCAATTTTAAAATTTAAACATTCACTGTATATTTTAATCATATCGCATATGTCTCCTAAGTCACAACTGTCCCCTCTTTCCCAAGAATGACAACCATTTCTACAGTTTCCTTGCTTTTCTTCATTTTTATCAACTACATATCACTCCTTCAAAATATAGCTTGTTTTTGCCAGATTTTGCATTTCATATTAATGGACTCATACTACAGTGAAGTATGTGGGTGATTTCTCCCAGGAGATATTTGACACTATCTGGAAATATTTTGGTTTCCACAACTTGGCAGCATGCTACTAGTGTCTAATGGGTAGAGTCCAGGAATGCTGCTAAACGTCTCGCAGTGTACAGAACACTGTAGATGATAAACAGATTTCTGGACCAAAATTTCAATAATGCTGAGGTTGAGTAACCTGTTGTAAAGAATTCTATTTTATAGCTGTACCAAAAAATTTAGTTATTTAAATTTTTTCTATTAAAATTTGTGTTGATTCCATTTTTTAACTGATATAAACCATGCTTCTATGAACATCCTGGCATTTGTATCCTCGGCACAGCAGTGTCTCTACAAGTGGAATTTTTTGGTCCTAGGATAATCATGTTTTTATCTTTCCTAGATTAACCTCCAAGTGTTTTAAAGTGGGTATTAAACTTTTACTATAGAAACTTAAGGTTTAGATTTCTTACCTGGTAACCACCAAACACACTTTTCTTCCAATTTATTTGTATCACAGTTTTGGTTAAAATAACCTTTTTTACAGGGTAAATTTGGTTATATCCAAAACACATATGTATATGTTTCTACACAAGAAAGAATTTGGATTAACAATCATCTACTTACATTTTTTTTGCTTGCTTGTCTAAAGATATAAACTCCTAAAAATGTATCATACTCACCAAGCAATCTCTCTATTCTATTTTTTTTCTTGATCTTTTCCTAACTGAACTGATTGCTTTGAGACAGACTAAGAGTAACCCCCCCCCCCCACTTGGGAATAGCATTTGACTTTTTCCTGTGTTGGATTCACCTGTTTCCTGTATTTTTAAATTTCCTTCCTTAGTTTGCTGAAGCACACTTTGGTAAAGTCCACATTCTACTTCTCCTCAATTTTGACCTTTGAAACTTCTATTGTGCTTTATTTCTTCTAACATATTTTCAGTTTCCAAATGCAGTTTCTTGATCCCTGAATGCTTCTTTTGTTCATTAATACCCTAGTTTTGCTTCTTATTTCTTACTTACTGCTCTGGGAAAAGTAATTATAGTCGTCCTTTATTTTCCTTTGTTCCATGTACTTTTTCTGCTTTCTCAGTCTAGTTTTTTCTTTCTTTTTCTTTTTTTATGTTTGTTTCAGGTTCTGTCTTTCCTAAAATGTCTACTAGCATTTTTCTACTCAGAAACGTGGTGCTCAGAGGCAACTTGGAAATTCTGTGTATGTGGGCAGAATGAAGCAGGCACACTATCCATTTTGGTGAGAAAACCTGCTTACCTTCACTGTTGTTTTTTTGGTGTATGTTTGGGGGTGAGGGTTGGTTATTTTCTTAGAACAGAACCTTCATTCTCTTGCCTGGACGTGTTGAGATGAGAGCTGGAAATCTCACTATGAGACAGGTCTTTGCTTAGTCTTTGATTCCAGGACATGGCCACATTTTCATCTTGTGCTTCCCTTGCTGTGGCCAAACCCAGGATCCAGAGATAATCTGATACAACCTCAATGAAAGAAAATAAGCCACCCCTCTTAGCTGACTAGCAGCAATCACCAGTTACACAGGGCTGCTCTGAAAGCTAAGGTCTGGTCTGTTACACTTTTAATCAAGTATTTTGATTTTGTCTTCACTTCTGTCTCTTGACTTCAAAGGTACCAGCTGTCTCTAATTCCTGAATGTATTCTAAACTGTGAAACATGGTGGACCTTAATAGAGAAAGCAGAAATCTGAGTAAGTTCTCTTTTATCTGTGTCTTTTTTATAGTCTCAATTTTGTTCATATTTCCAGTTGGCTGATATCTTTCATCCCTCTCCTTGTAGGTTTATATCTTTTAATATTTCTGCCATTTTAGTGAAGTTTTATCAGGACAATAGAAATGTTTGATCTACTGTATTTATAGAGGCCTATTCTTTACTGCTAAGGTGATAATGATCTTATAAGACATATTTATATTATTGAATGACGAGTTAAAAAATGTTTTGTAATGAACACACACATACTATGCATGCATATACACAAACTGCTCTAGACAATGCCCTAGTGTTTTGCAAGTTGCTGTTTCCAAAGATCACTTTTAGATATCCATTGTACTCAAATTCTTATTCTACTCTTTTTTTGTTTTTCAGTACTAGGGATTGGATCTAGGGACATTACTGAGCTACATCCTCAGCCCTTTTTATTTTTTATTTTGAGATAGTGTCTTGCTAAATTGGCCTGGCTGGCCTTCAACTTGTGGTTCTTCTGCTTATTCTTTTGTGTACCATTACCCTTGACTTTCATGACATTGGTCTTCCTTGTTAGTTGCAGATTCTTCTGAATTCTCTTCTCTGTCTTATTCTTCTTGCATTTGTGATTCCCAATATTTTATTCCCTCTCTCTTCTTTTTCTTTTTTTCTATTCTTTCTGTCTTTGAGGATTTCTCTTGGATTTTTTTTGAATATTTATACATAGTGGGATGTCTTGGGTAGCTCCCAATTATAAATAAGAAATTCATTTGTTACCTATATCCCATATGTACACACCTGTAGGTTAATTTTGTGTAATATTTTTAGTGCTTTTGAGTTTTGACTGCAACCTGTCACATGAGGTCAAGTATGGAATTTTCCTCTTATGGAATTGTATCAGTGTTCAAGAAGTTGTGAATTTTAGAGCATTTCAGATTTCTTGATTAGAAATGCTCAACCTGTAATAATTTCGTGCCACTTAGTACATAGTAAACAATAAAAGGCTCATGAACTGAAATGAGAAATTCCCAAATCTCATTTCAACCTTTCACCTTTGACTGTGGTACAGTAATGATTAGTGAAATGCTCCAAAAACAGGCAACCAGAGAAACAAAGACTTAGAGCTCACTGGAAACTACCAAACATATGATCAGACTTAGGAGGCTGAATGTCTGTATAAGAACAACAGAGTCCAAAGACCAGAAATGTGGTATTTTAATTTAACAACTTTCATATCCCCTTGATCATTATAAATTTAACATAATGTCTACTTATAACATCTGAATTTCTTTTAAATACTTAATCAAGATTTGATAATGTGTTAGTGCCTTCATAGAGAAAGATAAGCTGGGTTTTAAAAAACTATTTATTTTTTGTTTACCTAATAAGGAAACAACAACTACAGTAGTTGCCACTTTACGTGACCACAGAAAAACAAAATATATGATTATTTTTACATGGTTATATTACATTTTATAAGGTTAGCTACAGCATACCCCATGTTTTGTTATAAACTATATTACTTTGGCCATATGTGAACTATCAAATACTAAGCAGTGCTTTTTATACCCATGTAAGTAGTGAGTAACAAAGGAGAAAACAGATCAACATCACTTATAAATCTTATGAGCCATAATATCCATGTTAATGCTGTTTTATTGATATATTAAACAATTCTTTATATTAGGGAATATGTTTTAAAGTTGAATGATAACACGTTTTTTATCTTGGCTTTAGGTATGTAAAAAAAAATGTTTGTTTCTAACCACTCTTTATCAGCATGTTAACATTCTGAATCAACTTTTTAATATTTTTGAAGTAGCTTTTTAAAAACGCTACTAAATACATTTTCATTACAAATAGTACATGAATACTTTTTGCATGCAATCTTAAAATTCGGCAAGATATTACAGACCGTGATTCTGCCATGGAGAAGGAAAGAGATTAGGATGTAAATGAAGAGGGTTTAGAATATAAAAACTCAGTACATGATAATAATGTAAAACTTAAATAGGAACAAAGATATATTCACAAATTGTGAAAACATTAGTGATCCAAAGTTAATTTAAAATTAAATGTCTGAAATGACTTCTATGATGACAGGCATTTGAAAAAGAAATTGGGAAGAAATGAATAAATAAGAGTGTGGGTGATTTGTAAATAGAATCGTTGTGACATACGAATTAATTGTTGTTCTTTTTGGCCATATGGTTGGGTTTTGGTTTACTGTAGCATCACATTAGATTCTGGCAGAAAGCAACATTCCTGCTTATTTCCAACATGTGGCCTGGCTTACTAAAAGGAAAAAAACCCCCTGAAAATTCTGTTATATTTTAAGCCAGAGTTAAAGCTCTTGGGCCCAATTTGTTCCTAAAGTCAGTCTGAGAACACTGCACTGTATTTTGCTGGAACAGAATCAGGACTTTTGCATTGCTGTGACGGGGCAATGACGAACTCTGGGCTAAGAATGGCAATCTGTCCCCATGGGTTTCCCCCTACCCCACCTCATTTCCTCTCTCTTCTGGTTTCTCTTGTACATACTTTCACACACATTTCTTCCCAAGTCAACCTAAGGCACTTTGCTGAGGAGATTAAAGTTAGGTAAGCATGCACAAAGTAAAGAGATTTTTCATCGTCCTAAGAAGCAATTTTGCCTCTAGTTGATAGAAAAACATGTGTCCAGATACCTTTCTGTTGGTTATTTACAAAAATGATATAAAAATTAGTAATAAGCCTCATAGATTGCTATTAAATTGCCTAATTTGGGTAATTTGAAAAATAGTATTTTAACTATAATATTATACTAATGTTAGAGACCATGGGAGAGAGAGGATGCTCCTTGCTCTTTTGCCATGTGAAGACTGCACCAGGCAATTCACATTTTGTCCTTTATGGGGTCTCTTGGTTGTAAAGCTATGAACGTGGGGGCCTGCCCTTCGTTTAATCATCTATGTGTAGTATATGTAGCGAAGTATTTACAGGTAACAGAACTAAACAAATAGATTTTAAACTACAAAAGTGAAAGAAGAATAATATTTTAATAGTCCCCCAAAACTGTAGACAGTGTAGATACTTTCTTTGCAAAGTGTGTGAATGGGACAGTTCAAAGAAGTCTTGTGATAGCAATTCAAACCTTCTCTGTTTCTTTGATCTTATCTGAATGCAGAGTGTAATGATTTTCATAAACAGCCTTGATTTCTCTTTCTGACATTTTTTCCTGATCGTTTCAATGTTTTTAATGTGCAAAAATTAACTGGCTGAATTGCTCTTACACTTTGCACCTAATTACACTCTGACCATTGACATAGCTCTGTTTGTAAAAAATTGTTTCTTGGAGGATTTTTAAAATTTCATGTTTTCTTTATACAGATTCACATGATTTAAGAATAAACCTCTTCAACAGGAATTCTGAGTGAGCTCATTTTTAATGTAAGTGGTGTGTGAATAAACTGGAAGCTATTGAGACCTATGCTGAAGTGCTAACTGTAAAAAAATTAAGTGCTTTCACAAGAGGCTTTCTTAATTCTCATTTCTCACGCTGTACACAGACCATAAAACGTCAGGTGGAATTACGAGTGTTAAAATGATCCCTCTTACATTTTTATGTGGTTTTGTGCAAACATAGTTTTTTGTTTTGTTTTGGCAAATGTATCATTTTGTTGTAATGACTTCTCTCCAATTAAGAAAATGGAATTAAGTGAATATTCCTTCTTTCAAGATGAGCTGTATTTATTACTGGAACGGAAGTTGTCATATCCGTGATCATTAGCTTTGAACTTTAAGCACGACTGCTTTTCCTCCAAGGACTGTTTTTCTTCAAATGACTGGCACCAGCAACATAGGCATGACTGTACAGAACAAAGCAACTCGTTACACGTCTACATTAGTCACACAGTCACCACTCTTCCTGCTCTCTAGGGCTATTTCTTTGCAAGATTAGGAGCTCGTGGCCCTTTTCTTTCCTCATACTCTTATTTTTCCCTGCAAGAAGATTTAATTACATTAGTGGTATATGATAATTTGTTCACTAGAAATACAGAGAATAATTAATATTTCTTACCAAGAGAAATACACTCTTGATTCTTGATATTTACTCTTGATTACTTGATGAACACTCTTAATAGTTGGTAAATACAGATTTTAAAAACGTTTTGTCTGGCAAATGGAAATATTACTGCATACATGACTGTACATGTGCATGTGTTTACGAGTGTGTGGCTAGTTTGTTTCAATGAGGTTGTAGTCTATGTATTCATAACCTGCTTTCTCTCACTTGATTGTGCCATAAACATCCGTCCATGTCAATGAATTCACTATTACTTTGCTGTTTTCTTCAGCCACACATTTTTCTCACATGCCTTTTCAATATTGTTACACAATAAGGTTATGAAGTTTGCAAGTGTCCCAGTTGTATTCATTCAGTTTATTCCTTTGGATTTTTTTTTTTAATCCAAAACTTTGTTCATTTTGTTTGTTTTCTGAGAAATTACATGTACCAGAAAATAGGAGGTTCATGATTTTCTGTTCTATAAAATAAGGAAGTTGACCTTGATAGAAGTTCTCTTCTAGCCCTAAAATCTGAGTAATTAGTGGCCAATGAATTTTGTAGACTGTCTTAATGTACACAAAGAGTCCAAGTTTTTGGACTGTTTTTCCAATAATGAGACAGGAATAATGGCTTCTCCCACATACAGGGAAGACGTATTTTACTTATGTTGGATTGTTGAAGGAGCTAATGAGTGGATGGATGGATGAATGTTTCAATGTGAGCAGCTAAATAAAGAGTGATTAAACATATTCTGTATGCAACAGTATATTTGTTACATACTGAAGGTGGAAAAGAAGAGGTAGATCTTGATTCAAATTTCATTGTTTGATTTGCTGTTTTCATAAGCCATGTGAGAAAGGGACTGACTTATTATAATATAAATTATGGTCAAACAGTCTAAAATCTCCCAGAATAGAGAAACAGTGCATTAGAATAATCGTATATAATTTTTATTTTATTACACGACATCCTTCATACATCAATGCATATAATTTTTATTAATTTACTGAGCAATTCCATGAGTATAACTGATTGGCTGAAGCAGCGGGGCATGGCTGGCTAAGATGTATGGGCAAAATTCAGCTATTATGATTTATAAGCCAGTCATATTTTAAAAATCAACCATAATATAAAGCAAGGGAAATCTAAAAAGCAATTTACTAGATCTCTTCAGATAGAAATATTAATGGTTTTGAAGGGTTTTACTTGATGTCAAATTACTGAGTTTTTTTCCCTGTCTTTGCTGGAGATTGAATTCCAAACCTTCCCACTGACCTGTACACCTAGCCTTGTTTTTCTTTTATAGTTTGAGACAGGGTCTCCCTAAGTTGATAAGTTACCCAGGCTGGGCTCCAACTTGCCATCCTCCTGCCTTAGCTTCTCAGAGTGCTGGGATTATCACCACATCCATCTAGCTACCAAGAGTTTTTTTACATTAGAATATTCTCTTACCTTAAAGCAGTTTTTAAATCTTTTGCTCACCAAATACAGAGCAATTGGATTAATGCAGGAATTCAAGGAGGCCATGTTGATACCGATGTAGTCCATTACCAACAAAAAGCTGCAACCAAATAAAAAGCCCAAAATAAGTTTGTGAAAAATTTGATGCTCTCAGCATGTGTTCATTGCAGACTTCTGTGTTTTTGTGAAGAAAATAAAAAATAGCCTTGCCCAGTGTTCTGAAATCATCATTAGTTTGCTAGTGGTGATCTGTGTCTCTCATTCTCTGTCAACTTCCCCGTTCTCCCTCCCTGGCCCAACTCTTCCTTTTAAATTAAAATCTCTTTGGAAGTCCTGAGGCTGAGTGGAAAGAAAGCATTTACAATTACAAAGGAGAATCAGCCACGCTATTTTCAGTCTTGCCACTTGCTCATTGCTGAGGCAGAGATTTTTTCTCTAAAATCGAAGTGAAGGTAAAATCGGAAAGTCTTAGTTGGTCCTTAAGAGTTAGAAAAGTGACACTAGCTTTTCCTATGAAAGGGACCAATGGAAACATTCCTGAGTGATATTTATTTACCAAAGGATTGATTGCTATTCTACTTTTCTTACCTCAAAAGATCACATCTATTGGGATCATTCTGATCATAAAGAGTGAGCTTCAAAATCCTGCTGAGGTGAAGGGGAAGCCAACAGAGTGCAAAAACAAGGACCAGGCAAAATACTGTTTTGGCCACTTCTCGTCTCTGAAATAGAAACATAGGCAGACCCTTGAAAGCAACTTCTTTATATTAAGAGTATACACCTTCCTAAACAGAAAATTTAATATTATTTACACAAACTAGTGACATTTGTAAAAACACAGGACAAAGAGTTTTCAATTAAATACTTAACGTAAGTTAGAACTAAAAGGAGTATGGATTCATCTGTTAAAAGTTGTTTCTCTCTAGATCCTTTTAGATGATGTAGAATATTTCTAAGTAGACAATGTAAAAATATTCTTTAGGATTCAAAAATACAAAAAGAAAATAAATATTCCCTATGTATAGTTTTAGTTATTATCAATCATAATTTTCATCTTCATAATCATAATTGTAACCTTGAGCCATCTATTCTTTGGATCTTCTTACCTGCTTTAAGTGATCATTTAAAGCTATCTGCATGCCACTCTTCTTTCTCAACATCTCACAGGTCATCAGAGTATAAAAAAATGCAGTGATGGCCAAGGGCAAGCAGAAATAGAAGCTGAAGAGCCACCAGTCTTTAGCTGTCTTGTAAAACTGTGAAGGAGAAATGATTGTTATAGTTAATACTCCTTTGTAAAAAAAAAATCTTACATACAAAATGTTCAGTTTAAAAAAATATTCACACTGCCTGCCTTGGAAGTGCAAGGTCCTGAGTTTGATGCCTGGTACCAAAAAAGAAAAAAAAAATTCACCAAGGAACAGCTATCTTCTAAAGGAGAGCCTCTTTAAGAAATACTATGTACAATCTTTCAGGCCACATCTACTAAACAAATAATTAAATATAACAAACTTTCCTAAAAAGCATTTCCAATTCTTTGTGTTGGCATAATATACTTATTCATTGGGCAAAACTGTAAGTATTGGTGATTTAATACTTTTGTCTCCAGATAAAGAAGTTATCTTTAGTATCTTCTTTCTGTGAAACACCACATCTGAATATATAAAGATATCCTAGTGTTTAGGTGAGGCTTTCATTTTCAGTAACTCTGTTTAGTGGGAAAAACAGATATGAAAAAGTCTATACTCACTATTTAGGTCAGTAACATATAAATATAAGCCATCAATTAAAAAATCAAAGTCCTTACGACTTATGCCTTTTCTCTTACTCTGTTTCTGCTCTGTATATGTTACTATATGTTGGAGAATAATTTATATAAATTATGGAGTACTTCCCCTGTTTTTACTAATAATAACATTCTCAATTTTGTATTAATGTCTTTCTTTATTCTTTTACCTACACAGTTCATGAAATTTTATATAGTCTTCTTGTACATAAAAGAGAAAATAATCCTTGGTGATTGGCCAGCTCCCCTTGTATTGAGTTCTTTTAACCTATTCCGTCGAAAAGAGCCTTTTACATTTAGGTTCTGTCTTGTGCGGACCTAATGTCATAGTTCTTTTTCTGATTAAACATTCTTTAATAAATTACCAAGATGAAAAGTATTTTGCAAAAGCAGCCTTTCCTTTAGATCCAAGATAGGGGGTCAGGCTTGCCATACAGAATCCACACATATCAGGTGTCTTCTATACGAACATTTGCAGAACCATCTCTTCATCTGATGACTGCTGTATGGTCTGATACAGAGCATATGGGAGTGGTCAGTTCTTACGGCTTTGGGTAGAAAAGCCATAAATTCCCATTAATTCTCATGTGAACTTGGTTTATTTGTGTTCTTGAGATCCAAAGTGTTCTTGGAGAAGTAGTGACCTGATTCTTGCTACTTGGGTCTTTAGGCAAGGTTAGCCCTACAGTCCTGGGACCCACATTCTTAATTTATGCCAAGGATACAAATCAATAGCTTTCTAAGGATGGGGGTCAGAGAAAAGTAGCTAAATGTTTGTAAGGTAAGGGCAGAGAAGAGAAGATAAAAGTAAAATTTACCTGCATAAAGGCTGTTTTCTGAACAGGGTGAAGCATGCAGATTCGTAGGTGACTTCCTTTGTAGTTCATGGTAATCATATCAAAACCTATGGCTTCAGGGACAGCCAGAACCACAGAGATCACCCAAATTAAAACAATTTCTACCGCTGTCCATTTTGGAACTCCAATTCCTTTAATTCGACTCCAAGAAGCAACGGCTCGATATCTGAAGATGAAAATAGATTTTCAAGATGCTGGACCTTGGCTTTATTGAACTATGTAGTTTAGTTTCTATAGAACATAACAAACAGTAGTATAGTGTTTAAGATCTACCTGGCTTAAAAACGAATTCTTACCTGTCGATACTCAGAGCACACAGACTCAGCACAGTGATTCCCACGGAGGCCTTCTGTATGAAGGGCATCAGCTTACACATCTCAACTCCAAATGGCCAGTCTTCTGCCAGCAGCTGCAAGAGGGGACAGAGAGCTCTGTGAGGGAGGCATTCATAAGAAGCCCTCTGACATATGCAGTAAGAGTTGGTAAGTGCTATGGATAGAAAGGAAAGTGGAGTAGGGTAAGAGAGATGGGAGGGCCTCACTGGTTACAGAATTTAATAATATGATCCAAATAGGTCACATTGAAAAGAGAATATTTGAGCAGAGTCATTAACAAGAGGAGTAGGATAACAAGTTCCGGGTTCTTATTCTTTTTCTCATGGACTACTGCCCCTTTGAAAAGCGCTAGTGTTCAAATTATGCAACAGGAGAGTGCATGGGGAGTAATAAAAATGCAATTTATGAGAATTCATTGTTCATATACACTAGCCGAGTCAGGATCTCCTGTGTGGGTATAACTGTGGCCAGTTGCTTAAGGTCCTCTCTGAAAATTGATGCATATGTCATAGAGTCCCAAAGCTCAGGTCATGGCCAAATCAAAATGTAAGTTACTGAAAACCAGATAATAAATATACTCAGCTAAGGCGACTAAGGGCACCCACCCATAAAACAGTACTCTATTTAAGAAGAGTATGTGCATTCATACACTTGTTGTTAGACGTAGACAATTTACTTAACTGAACAGTGAATCAGCCAGAGTAGCCACACTGTTCCTTGAACACATTAGGCACATCCCTGCTTTAGTTATCTGTTCCAGCTTTTATTCTGGAAGGCTCTTTCACCACAGAGCTGCTTGGCTAACTCTCTCACCTTTTTAGGTCCTGGTCAAATCTTCTCTTTTCAATATGGTCTATTTGGGTCATATTATTAGATACCATAACCAGTCAGGCCTTCCCATTTCCCTAATCCTACTCCACTTTCATTTTTATCCATAGCACTTACCAACTCTTACTGCATATGTCATAACTTTTACTTACTTGTTTGTTTAGGCTTTGCTACCTTGAGCCCTACAGTATAAGACAGAATATGAGTTCCTAAGTTACCTAGAGTAGTGCCTGACACGTAGCAGATGCTTGATAAAAATTCATGCTTCTAAAATACATAGACACAAGCAATACAATGAACAAAAACACATACTTCTTGCTATTATATATATAAGTATCTCACTTTATCTGATGCAGACTATGCAACTATCCATTACTAAATGTGGTTGTTTTCTTTCTTAGGGCCAGTGGGTGTACCCCATACTGGTAAATGAATCACTTTAGGTAAACATCTGGACCAAATGTTTATGAGGTTTTGAAAATGAAGACAAATATTTCAAATCTATGTTTTTTTTCAAAACATGTTTAAAAAATAACCTTCCAAAAGTGAAAACTATTTTGAAACACAATTGGGTGTTTCTGTCCTTTAGTAACAAAGACTCAATTTAGTTTGTCAAGCTGTGCTGATTGTTCTATAACTAGAATGGAACCAAGGGCTAAAATGTGTGTCTCATTGTGGATGTGACTTGAAAACAAACACAGTGTCAATTTCATTTTTAAATCAGACATGAACATTTACACCGAAATGCAGGACAAATGTGGGCTGACTTTCACATATGTGTTTCACGTAAGACCCTGGAAGCCTACAAGGCCAGGCAGACTGACACAGAACAGTAAAGGGAGGCAGGTGGAAGTGAGTCCTTGGTGTCAGGAAGATAATGGTGGGGCTGATAGTAATCTCTGTGTGAAAAGAACCGGTGCTAAGAAACATCACATAATTTTTGCTACTGGACGTCGAATATAAAAATACCTTGATTTTTCAAAAGAATCAAAATGTTGTAATTTTGATACAAAATCTCACCATTTAAAAAAAAACTGCCAACTAATTAATACTTTAAAAAATATTGTCATACAATGTTGTATTAACAAAATGGAGTTCTGGATTAATGAATTCATTCATAACTCTGCTTGATAATTCATTCAAAATACTTATTGAGTATTTACCACACTCCAAAGACCATGTGGAGTCCAGGGTACATTTCAGTGAACAATGCAAACCATCTACTTGTATGGAACTTATCGTAAGATCTCTCTAAGAAGATGAAATTTAAGTGGCAATGTGACTGAAATAAAAGAATAAGACATACAAAGGACATGTTAAGTGGAGAAAAGAGCAAGTTCAAAGGCCCTGAAGTTAAAAACAAAAAACGAGAACAACCTAGCCTGTTAGAGTGGAGGCAGAGATAACCAGAAGACAATCAAGGCCTGGAATGGAGTGAGCCAGGCTAAGTATATAGGAGATGAGGCTGAATAGAGGAGGAGTTTAAATGCTTTTTTAAAGGGAATCCATTGCAAGGTTCTAAGTAGGAAAACAGAATGATACATTTTACCCTATTAAAAGGTCACTCAGGCTGCTCAGTATAGAATAGTACATGTGGTCAAGAAAAAAAGGCATTTCTGAGAACTACATGACGCTCTTGTAAAAAAGCCACCCATCCCCGAAATGAAATTAATAAAATGTTTTGTCTTGTAAGAGGCTTGGATTATTCTCCCTCCCTAGTTAATTTTGCACACAAAGCATGTTCTTTCCTTTGGTCAAGCTAGGCAGATCTTGAACATGTGCTCCCTGTTGTTGTTCCTCTAAGTGTCACTTATCATTGTTAACCTCGGTATGCTTGTTGTGGAACAATTAGCTAAAGGTGTCACAAAGTGATCTTCAAGCTTGATTTGCAGAACTGTACATCGCTCAATGGTCTGGTAGCATCAGTAAGTCTGAAAAACTTGATTTTATCAAAACTTGTGAAACGATCAGTTTAGCCCCTGGACTTTCCTTCTGTACCCTTTTCCCTCATTTACAATTTTGCTTGCTGGGGGAAGCTGGCTTTGAGTTCTTGTTCTTTTTCCCTCTTAACTGATACTGTCTTAATTAAGCTTTCTCTACTCCAAGCACTGATGTTTGATGTTTGGTAAACACCAATGCTGCCCATTGGGCACATGATTTTGATTTGAGGGGTCTGTAACAAGGTTTGCTAAGTCAGCAAAGTGCTTGTGGTAGATACCTTGATATCAAGTTAGGCTTCTAGGGCACTGTTTGCTCTGGGGATGTCTCTGGATTATCTTCATAGATGGCATTGGCCACCCTTGGTACAAAACCACTTGGAGAAGAGAAACTTCTAAACTTTGGTTCATCCCTCCCTCCCTCCCTCCTTCCTGCCCTCTCTCCTTTTCTTCCTCTTTCCATTTCTTCCTTCCTCCCTTCCTTCTTTCCTTCCTCTTTCCCTCCCTTATTCTCTCCAGCCATCCCTCTCACCTCTTTTTGTGGTGCTGGGATTTCACTCAGACCCTTGTGCATGCTAGGCACGTGCTCTATTACATACATACATACATACATCTGGCCCTATGTTTCAATTTGAACCAATTGGGTGAACTCAGTTATGACATTCAATTGGAGAATTCTCTTTCTATTTGTATTCAGTGTTTTGGGTTCCATTGCAGGGATCCCTTGGATCAGTTTGACAGAGTGAGGAAAGGGGAAGAGTGAGGGGAAGTGTATGGATTTCTTGAACCTTATCTTTTTGTTGTTCTTCCTGTGGAATCAGTTAATTTAGTGTGCTATATTTTGTATGTCTCTGTGTCATGGGCAACTTCACTTTGCTTTCAGAGTACAGCTAATTGTGGTGTATCCTTCAAATTAGACTTTCAGTTATGAATCTATGAAAAGGTAGCAAATGATCTTTTGTCCTGTTGTTTGGCTTCGGTATGTTTTTGACGTGGGACAAAAATGGCCAAAGAATAGAAACCTAAGTTATCATATCATTTAGCAATTAAAATTATTTTAGTGAGAAGGCAAATGGAAAAACTGTATGTTACTTTACCAAAATGAACATGATCAGCACAAATGGATTATCATGGTCCAGCAGGCAAAAAACCTAAGCTTGTCCTCCATAATATATAATGGGAGAAAGATGGAGAAATAACGTTAAAAGCTCTAAATCCACAAACGGATCTGCCATCAGGAGCTCCTCAACCTGTGGTGGCAGCCACTCTACTCCTTAAGGAGAGGAAGAAAATCATTCAGAAGGGGGATGGAAAATCATTTGTTAAAGAAGAAATGCCTAGAATAGTCTCCCCCTCCCCTACTGATCAGAGTACCCAGTTTGGCAAGCATGCCTCTAATGCCTAGGTAGGGCAACGTCTGTTTTGCTGTGTTTCCATTGGAGGACTGAAGGTGAATGACAACCAGCTGGAGTAATTTGGATACATTCTCATTTCTTTACTTCTGACTAATTTAATTGGAAAAAATAATACTCCTTCATATCAAGAAAATTCTTCCCACATGGAAAATTTATTTGCCTCCATTTTTCTTCCTATCACTCTTTTCGGCTGGTATTTGGGCTCCCATGAACATTATGCTGATGGCTGGAGAACCTTGAATAGTTCTTGAGAAAGCAAGAGAAGAAGTCCAAAGATTCCATCTAGCACATCCAATGAATGCTGCTGGATCAGAGGCAATCATACCAGTCTCCATAATGCAACCTATTTCAGATGTAAATAATGGTAGATTACCCTGTGTCAAAAATTATAGGAGATGCTTATTGGTAGGACACCTAAAAGGGGGTCCCTAAATTAAAGAGAATTAACAAACTACAGGAGGTTCAATGAAAACCTCTATGGACTATCTGAGACTTTTAGAATGTAGGTTTTAGGCATATCAATATCCCAAGGCTCTAGAAAAACAAAAACAACATAATGATAAATATTTTTTTTATTGGCCAAAATGCTCCTAACATGAGAAAGAGACTTAAAATGGGAATAATGGTTTAGGAGTGTCTACTTTACAACTACTAGAAATGGGTTTTAAACTTTTTAATAACAGAGATCTAGCACAGAATTTGAAGGGACAAGAGAAAATTAAGCAACAGGATTTCCTGCTCATAGCAGCTCTCACTCAGAATCCCAGAGGGAAAAATAGAAAGGGTTATAAGAAAAATCCAAAGAAGGTAAGCAAGTCATCCCCCTTCAGGAAAAAAATCAATATAGTTACTGCAAGGAAGAAAGATGTTGGATTAGATTACCCAAAACAGAAG